TTGAGAGTGTGGAGGCAATAAAGCTAAAATCGCTGGAGGCACTAATGGCTATACCAAAAACCGACTTCCAGAAAAGCTTCGAGGGGTGGATCAAACGCTGGCACAAGTGCATTGCAGCCGACGGGGACTACTTTAAAGGGGACAACTTGAATTTTGAAGAATAAACATGTACTTTTCTTTTTATGAATACATTCCGGTTATTTTTTGATCATGGTAGTATTCGCTAAATAATCCGCCGCGTCTCGCGTCCCGATCGTAACGAGTAACTTTATATTGCCAAATTTCGCTTACTTTCGTCACGCGATAACCTTTTTCAATAGCTTTAAGTAATTCGCATGACACCCATGTACCTTCAAATTCACGATCTTTTGAATGTTCATGTGCGCAGGCGTCTTGTGAGAGCGTTTCGCAACAGCTACGGCATAAGGCAAATAACAATTTACCGTGCGNGCGATACGGAAGAACGGGGTGAAAAAGATCGCGTGGAGGAAGAGCCTTACAACGCACAAGTCCTTCGACATTGGAAAAATCATAATTCGGAGCTTCACCAATTAAAACCGAGCATTTTTCTCCTACATAAATATCGGGGTGACCGATTGGGAAAACTCCTGTTTTTAAAACATAAGGATATAAAGAGCATACATCGACATAGCTTATCTTTTCTGTTCCAGCAATCTCATACTGCGTTACAATATTTTCCGTGCGTCCTCCGTAAAACGCATCGCGCGGATTAAGAGGAGTTATCACGTGTTGTCTTGAGACGAAATTCTTAAGATTTTGATTTTCGCGTATTTCACAAACGAAATCACACTCCCACTTTTCTGTAACAATGTATCCCCGTTTTCGAAGACGATACGTTGTGGCGAGAGTTCGTTCATAACGTGAGTCTATTGTATCTTCTCGATGTGACGAAAGCGGTCTATCGCGATTTATTCTAAAGCACTTAGGGCATCCGTGCCAGAAGCACCCGTGAAATTGTAAAACATGCCGGTGTGCTGGATTTGCCGTTTCATAATATCCGTCAACTAACGTACCGTCAATTAATCTATATTCACGACCTTTACCCGCATAAATTATACTTTGACTAAGCACGTGCTCCATCCACAGTAACCATTGTAGAGCTTTGCGTGATTGTTTGTTTACCATTCTATACCCTCCCGAAGGGATAATACCTATTTCTTTTTTTCGCAGAAAGTTTTNACGAAAAACTGTCATACATGAAGAAGCAATAGTTGTGCATTCCTCAAANGGGCAAACATTACCGCGATCAAGAAAGATTTTTCAAAAAGCTATACAGGCCTGACGTAAAATATCGACATCGGTACGGCAATAGCGTATTATTTCATGCTGAAAATCGAAAACGACTTTATTTTGCGTCATCTCTTATGCCATTTTAAAAAACGTTCGCGTTCATCAGATTTCATTGTTTCCGGAGAGTAATATTTTACATCGGGTAACGAACCGACATATGATTGATTCTCGATAGTGTTAAATAAGTGGGGAAAAATACCTTTATCGGATGTAACTGTCAGTCCGAAAGCCTTTGGTAGCTCCGTTAATTTCATAGGTATATAATTAACACTGTCTACAAATTTTGTACGNCCTACAGACATTAGAATTATTTTTGTTCCGTTTAAAATTACTTTAGGTTCTAAATTAATACCGCTTTCAACTACATATCGAAGAATAAATTGAGCGTCAAATGCTTTCGCATTATGGGCGATGCAAATAAATTTTTTNAAATATTTTGATGTACGCGTAGCAAACTCAACGAATTGTTTAACTGGGTTATCGTGGAATATATGTTCACGTGTCCCAACGGCAATGCAGCGTTATACATATGTATCATTCTCTTCTGCACACTCTTCGCAAATTTGCTGCGCTACACACAAAGTAGGAATGTGCAATTTATCGGTTTCTGTACCCTCGATTGTTACATCTTGTCTTGTTTCAAAATCGTAGAATATATAACCTACGGGTCCTTTCTCTCTGCGACCCTTTCTCTCATTATTAGTTGCCTCTTTTATTTCTTCCGCGAACTGGCTATTCGTCGCTGATTTTTTACCCGTTCTTNGCGTTGCGCAAAGAGGTTGCATGTAACACAAATGATTTATAGGACAACGCGAATTGCAGGTTTTACAGTACGCAACACCACATTCATGATATGCTTTAGATTTTATTAAATACCCGCAATCGCAGCAAAAACGTACGGTTTCACAAATGCTGGCAGTCGTTTTCCCATCATAAGACTTTGCAGAGCGATGATGCTCGTAACATGCTCTACTATAAAACGTACGCTTACACGACNCGCAATTTATATAATTTGCCTGCTCGCACGGCGGTATGCGGTAACATCGNGGACATCTATTTGAGCAACGGTGATATGCCGAGTCGCGATAACTTATATTACAAGTNACGCAAAAACCTTTACTACACGCAGCTCCTTTTAAACTGAGTATGGGACAGTAATGTCGCTCGCGTTCATAATACATAATATANAATTGCATAGAGGGTTCACGTCCCAAAGAAACAATTATTTCGCGCCCGTCGAACAGAGCTTTCTCTCCGCGTCCGAAAGTATCATAATTATATACTACAATCGCGATATCATAAGCAGCAAAATAATTTTGGAAGCAGGCGATTTCTGCAATTCCGCACCCTTCCTGAGGTATTACAACTTTTGCTTTGTTAGTTAATTCTATTGCTAAATCGCGCTGAAATTTCGACCGTTGTCGTCTTACCGCGTTCCATCTCTCATGTAACTCNTTCTATTGCTAAATCGCGCTGAAATTTCGACCGTTGTCGTCTTACCGCGTTCCATCTCTCATGTAACTCTCCCTTACGTATATTACCACGCTCGTAATAAATCTTTGCGGCTACAAGTGAACGCGGAAAACACAAATTATCAATATTGTCAATTCATAAAATTGAGCGTTTCGCAACAAACGTGCGATTTGCTTTGAACCTCCCGCGGCCCGAAATTGCTTTAGCGGACATTACGCGGATATTAAATTTAGAAGCAATATCAAGCCCGCCGGCGCTCTGCGCTATTGAACTTACAAGATTCCATATATCGTCGGGTGATAAGTCTCTGACCATGCAAAAAGATATACCTACAGGACCGTGAGACAAATTTTCACTGTCGAACGCTATTCCTACGTGATCGTTTTCAGCAAGAGAATCTATTACATAATCATAAATTTCTCGAAACGCTCGCTCTAATCGACTCACTATATTATTTTTCGGCTCACGTATTGTAAATCGCGCTTCTTTGCCCCGTACTTTAAAATTTTTAAATAGTCTAGTATGCTCACTTTCTAAATATACATACTTATAATTATATTTTTTTTGCTGCGCCGCTTCTTCCTCTTCAGTCACCGCTGTTTCCTCCTCTTTTTTCCTCCTTCTATCAACTTCTTCTTCGTCATTTATTTTGCGATAAAAACCTCCTCCGATTTGCATATTATTTGCTGCAAAAGTAAAATCAAATATGTATTATTATTGATAGATGTTACATTTTATATATATTTTTAAGCAGCTTACTTATATCAGGATTTTTTATTCTTCGGCTGGTAAATTCAAACTTAGCAGCCCATCAAATGATAAATTTTCTATTGATTGATCTAGCAATGGATATTCGCGATGACTTTCCCACCACTCCTCTGCCTCGATGTCGGGCATATCTATGTGGTGNTGAAGCCACGCGGAGACATTCTCGACTCCTGCAAATTATAATTTTTGTCTAAATCNTGATATAAAAAGCGCAATAACATATGAAAAAGAAAACTTACTGTGTCCGTTTAAAACAGGGCTATAAGAAACGCCAATTGAAGAAATGCTAGACGTATTAGCGGGTTCTAGTTGTTCTTCTTGTTCGCTGAGTTCATCTTGTTCTTCATGTTCTTCAACTTCTTCAACTTCTTCTTCGCTTTGTTCTCCTTGTTCTTCTTGTTCATTTTGTTGTTGTTGTTGTGCTAAAAACATCAATACTATATTATCGAGTTTCTGATGTACATACATAGCAGTGATCTAACACAAAATAAATCGGCACATGTGGGGAGGTAATCATACATTCGCTCGATACACTCACATGGTGAAGCATGTAGCGCACCGATACGATAATACTATAAATTCTGTAAAACGCCTTATTTAAATATAAACTTACCAGGATGCGAATGTAATATTTGTCGGAACAAAGGCAAATCTATTGTCGAGACGGCGCTAATATTATCTTCAGACGACGTAGCTTCTTCTTCTAGCTCTAAAATACGTCAGTAGTGTAACTATGAGAGTTCTAAGTCAGGAGCTCCGAGGGGGGCGCGGGGTATGACGTCACAGGGGGAGGGGTGACGTCATACGGAGGGGAGGGGTATGACGTCACAGGGGGGTATGACGTCACTATGACGTCACGCGGGGGAGGAGGTATGACATCACAGGGGGAGGGTGACGTCACTATAACGTCACGCGGGGGCGTGGCTCTGACGTCGCAGGATATGACGTCACGCGGGAAATGACGTCACTATGACGTCACGCGGGGGCGTGGCTCTGACGTCACAGGATATGACGTCACCCGGGAAATGACGTCACGCGACATTATGGCAACTTCACACGCGGCGGGCTCCGTTATGATGACTTCACACGTGGCAATATGGCGGTTCGACAANATGGCGTCACAGGATATGACGCGGCGGGTACCGGTATGGCGGCTGCAATATAGCGGCGACAATATGGCGACTTCAAGGTATGTACTATT